ATTATTGTGGAATGGCGCAGTCGGTAGGATAACAACTCGATAACGATAGTTTTCTACAATGAAGCGGTAAAAAACTTTTTAATGGTAAATATTTTAAGAAATATAGTAATGAACTGAAAATTTCGGGCCTTGTAACATTTTCAAAATAATGAATTGTTAGGCCATGAAGATCATTTTGACTTAATAGGGATGTTCAGAATATCAAGCAGCAGCAGGTAATTTCACTATTGAACTATACACTATTACCATATATATGAAAGATTTTGATGACTTTATCTAACATCATTTTCAATGATCATACGTTGCTTTAGAAATCTCGAATACTGATAGAATTCATTATGAAAAATATGTCAAATCTAAAAAACAAACCGTAACATTTTTTCGTCAACTTCTTTCAGCTAATGTCAGCTATGAAAATTTTGAATTGAAAAAAAATCAAGAAGCATCGTCATTGTTCTTGAGTTTAGTGAGGATCTTTGTGACTTGAAAATGTTTGTTCTTGAATGAAAATTAAGGATTTTTGTAAAGTTATATTATATAGAAGAAAACTCAATAAACAACTAAGCTATTGAAACCTTTTCTCATGGAATACAAACAAAATCGCGTTCATCTAAAAGTTAACTAGAAACTGAATAACTATGGGATAATCATCGTCATTGACAGTTTATCTATGATAACTTTCCCTATCGCTTTTTCAGATGAAACTAGGGTTGATTTAACTGCAAATGGTAGAAATACCAGCGTGGTCCAAACAGAACTGGCTGGTATCTCAATCAAAAAGATATAACAAGGAAAGGAATTTTTGGTAAAAACATAACAATCTGCACTGACAGCAGACAAGCCCTATTAGCCTTGAACAAACAACGTATAACCTCAGGGCTAGTACTAGAGTATCACCAAGATTTAGCTAAAGCCTCGGTTGATAGCATTATCCTAAGGTGGGTTAAAGGGCACGACAGGAGTAAAGGTAATCGCATTGCCGACTCTTCAGCCAAGGAAGCGGCTGGACTAAGAATTTTAAGACCAGTGGCACCTACGGCCTGATGACTTCGACAATCGCGGAACTAGCCAATTGTTACACCCATGCTCAATCCTTAGAGAGATGAGATGGAATCAAAGGATGCAATATTGCCAGGATCACCTTGGGCGACCTTGGGAAGCTGAAGTGTGCAGAACTGCAAATGGTTTCATTTCACCACTCAATTGGATTGATGCAAATAGAACATGTTGTGGAACAAAATATACAACATTCTTCAATGAACCTAATTTGCAGCTGCTCGAAGAAGACCGGTTTTGACTGATCTGTTTGCTTTTGAGTATAATTAAGCTATTACTTCATTTTATGGTATACATGTATATACATAATTATATTATATAATCGATATTATCAAAAGCTTTCGTTCCAGTGATAATGGTTCCCAATGAAAATGTTGTATCTGATACGACCCTGTTTCACTGACTTTTGTAAAACACAGATCATTTTGATAATATTTTGGCTCCCACTTTTGCGAAATAATTATTCAGCTCGTAGTATACTTCTACTACCTACATGTGTACATACGATGGATGTATTTTATAAACTGTTACCATTATTGATTTCATTATAAACCGTTATTTTTAACACCTCGACACGTGTTTCGATCACCAAGTGATCATCTTCAAGGGGAGGATTGAATTTCCTCTTGAAGATGATCACTTAGTGATCGAAACACGTGTTATGGTGTTGAAATAAGGGTTTGGTGATGGAAAAACCGTCAGTGATATTCATAACAATTATGATAATGGACAGTGGAAAATTTATGTTTAAAGTCGGTTTTTGGACTATCAGAGTCTTTTTGAGTACATCCATTGCTGAAACTACTATATTCTGTGTGGAAATCATCCACCTATTCAGATTAATTTCGATAAAAGTGAATTCAACTAAGGTTCAGGATCTAAATTATGATTGATACATTTTAATTTAATGCTTTTGATAATATTAGACAGTTATTAATCAGTATACAACGAACATCGTATTACTCGTTATGAGACATCAAAAAATCAATGACGTAATAAGTACTATGATCGTAGTATTCAGATATTTTCGATGGTTTTATTTTCAAAAAATATTTGTGACATGCGACAAGTATTGATTTGAAGCCTACACAGTGTCATCCCCAAAGAATGTACCATATGGGAATCTCATTTTTTAAGGGTTTTTCGACGAAAAGTTATTCTTGATAAAAGTTTGTACATCCCCTTAGACTGAAAATGCATCAACAAAATACAGTAAAACACACGTAATATACGAGGAGCCCTCAAATATTTGATTTTGTGACAAGAGTAAAGTACTCTTATTTTGAAAAATCTCGGAAAATGTTATTCAGAAAAGTTGTTAAGCATTGAAAAATACATTTAAATGCGAAGTCATGGCCATCTAAGTGGAGTTTTACCCATTTTTTTTTTAATGGGGACTACAAAAAACCCATTTTTGCTAAAACAATAGATTGACAAAATCCTGTATACAACGGTTCATTTTAAAAGACTGTCATATTACAAATTACACAACTGTCGTGTTGAGCACGGTCAATTTTTTTGAAAAGTAAATTAATTTTTCCGTTAGTTACCGAAAATTACTCAAAATTATACAGTATTGTAACAAGAAACAAGAAATTGATACTCAATATTATCAAATCACAAAACATCAAAATTAAATAGGTATTTCTGAACAACCTCATTGATTTTCTGGAAATTTTCTTGTCCAAAATAAGTGTTTTAGGTTAAATCTCCAGAAAATCAATGAGTTTGTTCCGTTTGTTTTTTTGAAAAGTAAATGAATTTTCAAAGTTTGTGGTGGAAAGTTATTTTTATTTTTTGTTATCACCTAAAATTACTCAAAATTTTACAGTATTGTAACAAGAAACAAGAAATTGACACTCAATATTATCAAATCACAAAACATCAAAATGAAATAGGTATTTCTGAACAACCTCATTGATTTTCTGGAAATTTTCTTGTCCAAAATAAGTGTTAAATCTCCAGAAAATCAATGAGTTTGTTCCGAAATGCCTATTTCATTTTGATGTTTTGTGATTTGATATTATTGAATATGGAGTTCTTGTTACAATACTGTATAATTTTGAGTAATTTTCGGTACTAACAAAAAGTAAAAATAACTTTGCACCAAAAACTTTGAAAATTAATTTACTTTTCAACTATGGTTATCACCATAGTTGTGTAATTTGTAATATTACCGGGTTATGAAATGAATAGTCGTATAAGGGATACTGTCTATTTATCGTCTTAGCAATATTTTTTTCGTAGTCCCCATTTAAAATATTGGTAAAAAAATAAAACTCACATAGATGGTCATAACTTCAAATCTAGATGTATTTTTTAAAGCTGAACAACTTTTTTGAGTAACATTTACAAGTAAGAGTACTTTACTTTTGTCACAAAATCAAATATCTGAAGGCTCCTCGTATATTAAGTGTGTTGAACTGTATTCTGTTGGTGCATGTTTAGTTTCAGGAGATGAAGAAACTTCCATCAGGAATGACTTCTTGTCGAAAAACTCTTAATGAATGAGTTTCCCATATGACGCGTACTTTGGGGATGACACTGTACTATTTGATGTAATTCAGCGATACTGGATCTTCCGAAACTAAAAAACGTCAAAGTTTCTAAGTGAGTGAGTGAACTTTTTCCAATTGACAGAGCTGAAAGAAAATTTGTGGAGAAAACACAATCGATTCCATTGAAGTAAAAAAAGTTGGCCATTGCTGAGCGACGTTGCTAGGTAGGATAATGAAGGTGATGGAAATGTTTTGATAAGCTTGGGAATGTTATACTTTATAGATAATGACGTGAATAGAAAGGATTGTTTTCTATGATTTTTACTCATTGAGTGATGATACTGAAACTGTCAGGCTGTATACTAAAAGTGTCACTATTTTTATTGGGGGTTGAAGACCGTCGGTATTCTTCCTGACGTTTCACTGGCACGAGTGGCTAGCTACTTCAGAAGTTCATACATCTTGAGTTAATCTTTAACGACTCGGTATTACAGCTGCGTCAAGCATATTCATGTTGATTCAGGAAGTTTGGCGTGCTAATACCTGTACCTAGATCAGGTGAATTGCCAAAAGGAAGAAGTCATCCCTACTCTAACTGAACGGGCTCTAATATCTAGAGGAAGAACTGGAACATCTCGAGTGACATTGCGACCGAATAGATATAGTGCACCCACGATCAACAAGGCCATGAAACTGAAGAGTTCCACGGTTCAAAACTGGGAGGAGGCTCGGATGGTTGCACGAGCTTATCTACCTTATATCTCTAGGGTCACAGACAATAAAGCCTCAGGTCGGCTGGAGTGGTATATCGCATACAATGCACTTGTGGGAAGGTATAAATCGGAACCACCAGAAGATCTATGGGAATAAGGCTGAAAGAGCACGAAAGAAACGGCAGACCAGGCCAAACAGACCAGTCGGCTGTGGCAGAACACGAACTCAGTGAAGGAAACTACATGATTCCGTTTGAAAACACCAACCAGGGCTTCTATATCAACCTGGTATGGCAGGCAATAGAGATCCACAACCACACGGATAATTTCAACTGAAAAGGAGAAGCTGTAAACCTCAACCGAAAGTAAAGACCCATTCTAAGAAGTTCAAGGATAACAAACATTATGATGCCTGATAGAAAAGGGTCAACGAATGATATTTTACATTCAGGTACATTTACCGATAGTCATCTTGATTTCGAACAGGTTGGAGCCTGGCTCCTTTACCCTTACGACGTTTGTCGAAAATACAAATGGGTCATGACTGAATGGTGGTGACAACATGAAAGTCCTCAGAATTCAGTACGGCCCTTCACGGTGTACCCCTACCTGGCTAGGGTGGGATGGATGAAAAAGCTATTCGTCCGTTAAGGGGGAGCTGAGGTCCTCATTCGACAGTGTCGGGGCCTTCTATATCGGGAGGGGTCGTCTACAGCATAATCTATAGCTTCCCTAACTAACGGATTATCGTGAGTTTCCGCACAATCGAAAACTCGCCGATTCCTAGACTGAATGAACTGCTGAATGAAAGGCAGCTGCAAATCTCTGTAGTTTCTCCAGGATGTAGTATTGCTTGGATCCGCTTGTCCTCAGACGCCTGAAGCATACATGATGACAGGCTTGAACATAATATTATAGATGGTAATTATGTTCTTCAAACTCATTTTGGGTCTTCTATTGTTCAGAGGGTTCAGAGTTCTGATCCGACTCTCGATCCTTGTTTTGACTGATTCAATGTGCGGGTTCCAGGTGAGCCTACGGTCTATTAGAAGGCCGAGGTACTTTACCTGCGCTTGCCAGTTGATCTCTCTTCCAAAGACCCCCACTTTCCTAGCCGGAGAAGATATCGTTCTTCTCATGGTTATCGCCTGAGTATTTTCCGGGTTCACTCGGTAGACGATTCAGAACTCCGACCCATGGAAGATAAGAGCAGAGCCTTATCATCGGCGTAGGGAAACACCTTCACACGCTCGGACTTCGGGAGGTCGCTGTTGTAGAGCGAGTATAACGTGGGAGAGAGCACAGCTCCCTGTGGCACTACAGCGACGATCTCTGTTGTCAGACAGGGAGCTCTCTGCTCTAACTTGAAAATCCAGGTACATGTATTAGTACACCAAACTACCCGAAATAACATAAATACGCCTAACGCTGTTGTGATACCTTGTCATCGGATATGAACTCAAGATGTATACATCTCTCAAGAAGCTAGTTACTTGCTCCAGCAAAACATCAGGAAGAAATCCCAAAAATCGAGTCGAATGAAATTAGTGACTTTGAAAACCTTGACCGTATATTACTATCATATTAACTGTATGTCCCCTGATAACTGAATCAAACCGACTACTTTTGAGGTTAGTCTAGTACTTGTGACGTCAGATCTCTATCGTTTCAAAGAATACAACTCATTTCTCAATTCATTGTGAGAAAAAATCCTTGCCCTTCATGCGCCATTTCCATCGAGTTGGTTTTACTGAAATATTCATCATCTTGGGGTACACCCAGCATATTTTCATGAGTTCCGTTCGGAAACTGCTTTGGCAGTAGCCACCTGCGCTAACAGTCTACAGAATGCGCAGAATGAGAGGCGTTTTTGCCGTCCAGTAGAAAAACGGCCGATGGTGTTGTTTTATTCAATCGTTATCATTAAAAATTATTTATTATCTATAGGTATTTATTATGTAATTATGTAATATTTTTGGCAGGATATCTCACCCAAAAACAATCGTTATAGTTGTACAAAAGTACCGAATAAAGGTCCTAGGAATTTGATGTAACAGTTCGAAAAATGTACGGAGCACTGCGCGGACGCACTCGCGATTTGTTGTTGTTGTTGTTGTCGATGTCGTTGGCGGTTGTGGATCGACGGTTGTTGCTGCCGATGCTTCTGATGCAGAAGAAAACGACAGCGAGCAAGGCCTGGAATCGCTGAAGCGCTGAGAGCTGCTTACGCAGCGGCCGGGGGTGCTTGGTGGCTGCTTGCGCAGCGCATCCGTCACTGAAAAAAAGTAATAATAATAATCATAACATTCACTTACATATGGAATGTACCGAAAATATTAAACGAAAGTAATTTTTGCGAAAGAAATATTTGGGGTTTTTTCACCTGCCACAAGTATAGTACAATAGAGCTTTGTGCAAGTGTAGAAAGGACGAATATTTCATTTTATCCCCAAGGGCGTCACCAACGGGGGGCAGTTGCCCCCCCTAGTGATCAAATGTAGCTAGCCGCAAAGCAACCATATTGCGAGCAATTGACTTCCTTACCTATTGATAAATTCCGCATCGCATGACAAAACGTAGATAAATTCACAAATTCACATTTTGACATCCGCTTCTAAAATCGTCGCGATTATCATCACGACTGTATCATATTTTCCATTAAACACTGTAACACAGGTATGGTGTGTGTGTGTGTGTTGTGTACATTGCATTTCTTTCTACGACAGCCGTTCAACAGCATTCACGTTAATTTTGTATAATTTGTAAGCGGCATACCTAAAGTACAAGTTATTGTTATAAACATACAATTTTAATTGGTTTTGTGGACAATGCCATCTGTAAGTGTAAGTATTCATACGAAACACCTACAGCCTACAGTTGAATGAATCGACTACAATCCTTGCGAAACCTAGTATTGCTACTCGACGCTAGATGGCACTTGTTCAATGAACTCTCTGGAATTTGGTAGCAGTTTCTAGAATGTTACATGAAGAATGAAATCGAACTTTGGCAGTAATTGTGGCACGATAGGCTCAATGTAACAAATCTTACAGTTGTTGACGGTCCTAAGAGAAACAAATTCCTTATTTTCCGAAACGAAAAAAGCATTGAAAATTTTGATCGCTTTACCATGCACGACCTGCACAGTAGAGCGATCCTTCAGCAGCCTCAGAAGACTGAAAACATGGCTGAGAAGCACAATGGCAGAAGATCGCCTTGATGGTCTGGCCATGATGAGTGTGCACAGAGCTATAATAAATAAAAACTTGAAAAATTTTAATGATAAAGTGGTTGAAAGTTTTGCAAAAAATCACCGTAGGTTATGTTTTAATTAAATATTATTTTGTTGAAATAAATAACTATTACTGTGTTTGAAAGTTTGATTTAGTTATTGTGCTGTCAAGGGTTTGTGAAGTTTCATACATTGATATCAGAACCATTCTTATTACAATCGTCATCGAGGCAAAGACTTCCAAAATGTAACGCTTCATGTTTTCGACTGTACCAGGCGTTCATATTTTTATCCTCGATAATATTGCCCCCCCTCTCTTAGTCATAAGCTGGCGACGCCCTTGTTCACCCCGATGAGTTACTAAAATCTGTCTCCGTCTTCAGGTATATCAACAGAAACGGCTCTATGTCGAGTCAAGCAGAAATCATACACAAACTGCAGGTGAATGAACTGTATGCTTGTAGAAAACTTGGTATACACAACCAGCATGGGAGGAACAATTGTGGCGCGGGTGAAAAGAATTGTTCTCTAGGAGAGGGTTTCTTGTTCCCACTGTTGAGACATTTTGTAATCGACGAACTACAATACTTTCTAGATCATATATAGTATATAAAGTACTGAGCTATGCATACGAGTTAGTCATCCTAGTCCTTAACAAATACAGTGATATAGTGAGGGGACGCCCTGCATATTATAACAAGATGGATCGAGGAACAACGGCAAAATTGGTCATAGTAGCCAAGGACCAAGAAGTATCGCTTCTCGGCTCTTGGCTAAGATCAAAGTGTAGTTGCATTATCCAAGGGTGCGCAGACAAAGGTGAGGAGATACATATGTTGAGGAAGGAAAAATATCTTTTTTTTTCGGCGAGTGGAGAAATCTTTGGAAGACACCTGGTCGCCCCGTGACCAGGTAGTGTCGAATTATTACCGATTGAAAAACCACTGATGAGACGACCGGCTACTCTGGAACCGCCCTTGGGCATTACTTTGGAGTAGCAGACTATAGAGATAGTTCAGGGCTCTTCCTTTTCCTTCAGTATTTCATCATTATTCTTTAAATTCATTTCTTTTTTTGTTAGGATGGTCTTGGAGAGTTTGTTAACGGCTTCCCAGTTTTCTTTATTTGTTAGAATCTTCCCTATCATGTTTTCTGGTGATAATTTTCCTGTCGTCATTTCTGCGTTTCGTCTCTGTTCTTCCCAAAGTATGCATTCAAATATTGTGTGTTCTACCATGTCTATCATTCCGCAGTACTTGCACTCATCGATGTCATTCACTTTGAATCCGAATAAATATACATGAACACATCCATTCCTCGTTAGAACTTGTGTGAGGAAGTGATTCACCTCTTTCAATCCATGTTTCTATGTCTCTTTTCCGTCTTTCTGACCATTCGGCCTTTCCCGAAATTGTTACCATTTTTCAATGATTTGTGACCTTGCCAACCCTTTTTGTATGTTGTTTAGTACCATTGTTGTCTCTTCCACCAGGAGATCTAATGGGGTGGAGTTCTTGCAATCACCAGCAGAGCTTTGGAATATATTTCCATGGCTGTCTTCCGGATTGTTGTGTCATAAAGCATGATCGAATGGGGGACAGACCAGGGTGTTCTTCTGTTATCTTCTCGGGGGCCCCAACGTTGGTCATTATCCTGCTTATGTTGCTTATGGCTTTTCCAACCTTTTCTATTTTTCAAAAATGAAAATGAAAAATGAAAAAATGAGACATTTTCATATTTCGGTCTATGTGGACCAGAAGTACTATCTGTGACTTCTGAGAGGCAAGCTTGAGTTGCTTCGCTCTCATTCACTGGGCGATATCCTTCACAGGGGTTCTTACCAGACTTTCCAGACTTTCCTCATTTTTTTCTACCACTACTGCTAGGTTATCTGCCTAGTCATCAGGTTTCCTTTCCTAGGGGCCGTCAGATTCAGTACCCCATCAAAGTTCATGTTCCACAGCGTGGGACCCTTTACGAAGCCTTGTGGAACCCCACAGGCGATGTTCATATCTCATTTGTATCCTATACATCTCTTGTTTTGATTCCCTTCCCATGATGCAGATTTAAAATTGTTCTGTACGTCCACAGTTATCATGGCGCCTCTTTTCCCACCAATCCTTTCGTTTGCTTCGTCTGCGATGTTTTGTACCTTTGCCAGTACATCTGTTGTTGATCTACATTCTCGAAATCTCTTGACAGTCTCGTCTTGATCAAATGCACATGGGTCTGTACGATTCAGTTTTGCTATCTTCCATTCTTTGGGGAAGGTCAAGTATGTGAAAGTGGTACTAGAGCTGGTGATCAACACCATAATAGCATATACATCTATGGTCTGGTGGCCGAAGATGAAGCAAATAACTCTTCATAGCATGCTGAGTAGGGTGCACAGATTAACGCTAGTTACGGAAACACCACACAAATAGCTGTTACAGTGCACTTCAATTTGGTGATCATCAAAGAGGTACTAAATAATCGAAATGGTTAACAAATGTATATCTATTCAATTCAAAAATTAGAAAACAAGGCTTCATTATTTTCTCAATTCATCAAAAATAATTGTAAAATATGCCAGATCCTGTATGATTATGAGTAGTAGATTCCTCTGAACGTCAAATAATTCTTGATATTGAGTTATCTGGACTCTCCTCATAACGTATAATAATATTAATAAAAACTTTCATTGAAAATTGAAAGGTTACTCAGTAAAATATATACTAACCTAACCTAACAAATGACGGATTTCAACATCTGCACTTATAAATCAAGACAGATATCCCTTGTCCATCCAACGCCAAGGCCTTCTAAGGCCAACCACCTGAGGCCTTCTTGTTTCTGTTTCATTATCACCCTACTCCATCAACGCCCCACCTAGTGAATTTGTCTGCTTTCTTTGAGCTTCCCCAATTTGTATGAACCCCCTCCAACTCATTCAATATAGGGACGTACGTAATCTAGATTTACTGAATGTGAACCTTGAGTGTACTTTGGGTACCCACTTGAATTGTCAATCTAATAGCTCCTGGAGACTGAAGTGACAATAACTGAAGGTTATTTGACCCAGCATCCTTATCCAACTGCAGTCTATAATAAGCACTAGCTAGCCCTTGAACATCAACCTAATATTATATCGTGGGGCTGGATATCGTTAAAGAAATCACATATCTCGATACGTTAAATGAATTACCTAGCATGGCTGTCTTGACGATGATCTTGAATATTCTTTATATCCTGTAGTGATGGAAGAGGCAAGGGCGGACCCATTTGGACTAGAAAGTTCGCCCAAATACAAGGGTTCTGGCAAAACAAACATTTTTGAATATATATATATATCTTGAGATCATGCCCGGCAGAAATACCTGGTCCACAGAATAGTCGAAATACCACCAAGGAACGGTGACTGGAATTAACTGTGCGGAAGAAAATTTGCATTTTAGTTGACCCAAAAGTGACATCAATACTGATCCGTAAATGTTATGAAGAATCGAGAAAATTGCCGAAAAGGAATATATTGATAATGGTACCAGGACACTCAGGTATTAATAGCAACGAAAAGAAGCTGATGAGTGTGCTAGACACGCATCAGCAAGTCTATTTCTACGTCACGAACCAGCTGTGGGGGTACTGAAGTCTCTGGTATGAAACCCTGTGGGTGTATAATGAACTGAAGGAGTATCCGGTAACACATACCGAAAAACTTTCATGGAAGGATCCTCTGTTCAGAGGAGAGAACGAAATAACTGTTTCAACAAAGTAGGAATCGACTAGGAACAATTACAGTGTACTAACTGGACACTGTTAATTGCGAGGACACCTGAACTGCAGATAATGAAATAAAGGGATTGAAACAGCTCGTCTTATATGATTCGAATGTGAGGCACTGAATCACAGAAGGCAATAAATCTTTGGACAACCCACATAGTATCCAGGAGAATATTACAAACATTCGGCAAGGTACAAAACAGAAGAATAGTTGTCGAGATGACGGGGTGAAAAACGGAAGGAGTCTATGAAGTTGTACTGTTTTCCAGAGACTTGTAAGGAAAAGTCAGAAGTCTTTCAGGAATGGCAAAAAAACCATCGCAGGCTTCCAAGTCATAGTCGGGAATATTCTGTTATTCTAGTTGACCTTTAGTAATGAACATCATATTCCCTGACTCTCTGAATATTCACCAATGGATAACAGAGTGTTTGATATTTTGTTTTTTTTATCACTTTCTCTCTCTTCCTAGAAATTTCTGAACTCCACCTTCAACAAAAAACTTTTCTCATAGCGTTTCACTTCATCAAACACTTTGACGTCTTCGTGAGTTGGTCCAACAAGCCAAACATATACTATCTAATAATCTTCTTTCATTTAGAGAAATATTTTAATTGGTTGAGAATATCGTGAAAGATGAACTTTCCATGATTACTTCCCCAGAACTTGTCATAAGAATACTCACCTCGTAGTCAAACATCAGTCTCGATGCTCATGGCGTTGATGTTGTTGTTGTGGCGTGGGTTGCAGTTCTGCTTTTGGGCCAGCTGGTCGCGGGTCACCATCAGTCCTTCCTCCAACTCGACCAGATCGCTGGAGGATTCGCTCAGCGAGCTCTTCTTCATATGCTGGCCCAGAGTGCCTGGCAGGTACGGGCAGCTGGTCACATGGTTGAAGTTCTGCGACTGCATCTCCTCCTAGAAAGTTATTTTTATAGTTAGCAGTAGTAACCTATATCTTGGGTTTTGATAGTGGAGTTTACACCCAAATCATTCACTCAAAATCGAGGTTTTCGCGAAGAGATAGACAATCGATTCACATCTTGGCCAGCTCTTCCTTATTCTGGAAGCAAGAAATGCTCAATTTTTATTTCCATTGTAGTTGCTCACTATTATGAACAGTTGAATAAATATTACGCACAAATCACACCTGACAGCAAGTGTATAATAGCCTGCATCTTGTTCCACAAACTTTAACATGATTCTGCTAGACCAGCAAGTTAAATGTACGATCCTAGTTGGTCATGATTGATATTTTGATCTACAACTGTGGATGAATTGATCCCATGAAACAAAGGTCAGGTATTCCAGGAGCATTGGCTCACTCATAAGTAGCGGCAGGAGTACCATAATCTCTGGTCTTAACATCAATATCATAATCCAAGTCGTTCAAAACATTTTAGGAACTTCTTTCAGGGTCGAATACAGAGAACCAAGAGTTCATTGACCATTCTATGTCAAGAATGCAGGGATTATGGAAAATATGATCATTTACTGTTCAGAGTAGGATCTGATCTTCTAGATGTTGATGTTTGTATTTACTCTACTGTCTTGTTGTTCACAAAAGTATAGTAGTGAAACGAGCCCCAGAGTCCACTCCAAAAGACAGAATGGATTCGAAACGACAAGCATGCGAAAAGTTTTGTTTTTTCCTTCCACTATCGAAAATTGTTTCTAAGAATAATAGTCTACAAAAGCGCAGAATTTTAGAAAGGAAAAAGTGACATGGAAACAAACGGCGAGGTTCAACTTCAATATTGAAAGAGTTCCACTACGAAGCTGCTCTTCCACTGCGGACGCCTCGTTCAAACTTCGGAGATATGTTTTGTATATGACTCAGTGAGTGGAGAAGCGTTGTTCTACAAGTTGAATGTAAGTCTCTTCAGCACTCCGACGTCGATCACTTGTCTACCTCAAATTCCTCACCAATATCATGCAGAAACTCTGAGTAAACTTCGAGGTCATTCATTGAGGTCTTTGAAGAGATGCAGCTTGATCTGGGAGTACCTTCAAGTTCAACAGATATTGACAATAGTGAGTTGCAGAAAAGATGCCACCAGATCATGATGCTGAAGTGTTTCTTCTGGTTCTGTATTTGTGGTTCAATTTATGACACTACAAGGCATCTGAAGTTGGGTCTGATACCTTTCAATAACAAAACATAACAAAAAAATATTTTTTGAATGTTTCCTACACTAAATTAGTCAATTTCTACTAATTTTGAGGTGATAAAAACGAAAATAATAATTAAAAATTTTTATTAGCTCTGGTTTTTGAGTGTTTTGGCAAATAAAAGAAGTTTGTACCACCAAATTTCAATTAAGTCCATCCGGTTCATTGTAAGATCGCTGTCGTTTAGCTTGTCTTTTATAAAACACTTTTGGAGCATCCCTACACACAGACCAGCAGTAGTCTGCAAGCATTGCTTCATTCCAACGGCCCTGATATCTCTGTTCCATTAAGGCAATGTCTTGATGGAATCTTTCTCCATGTTCGTCACTCACAGCTCCACAGTTTTGTGGGAAGAAATTAAGATGAGAGTGAAGAAAATGAATTTTTAAGGACATGTTGCATCCAAGTTGGTGGTAAGCTTGAAGAAGCTCTTTAACCAATGCTGTGAAGTTATCATCTCTTTTGTTACCTAAAAACCCATGTACAACCCCCTTAGAGGCTTCCCAGGCTCTTTTTTCATTTCCTGTTAAAATCATGTCAAAAGCAGGATCATTTACGATTTCACGGATTTGAGGCCCAATAAAGATGCCTTCCTTGACTTCAGCATCACTCAACCTGGGAAACTTCCTTTTTTCTCAAAAAAAGGAAGCAAATCTTTTTGACGCTGTCTGTACTGAGATATTTTCACATCATGTTTTAGAAGATTCCACTGTTGTACTCTTGACCCTAAGAGCTCAGCCTTTTTCTTAGACAAGCGAAGATCTCTTATAAGGTCACTCAACTCTGCTTGACTAATTCTGTGCGGATCACTAGACCTATCGCTTACCTCAAAATCAGGGTCATAGGATGTAGAAGGATGGGTTGCTCCTTCTAAACAGTCTTCATCACCTTCCTCTAAAATTTCATAGTTTTGGGGTAGAGAAGGGACTGGCAAATTGTCTGAGTGTGGTACAGGTCGAAGAGCAGATGGGAGATTAGGGTATTTAACCGTTCCTCTTTTCTTCATAGATAAACCTTGCTTAATGGGAGGAGTTAAGCAGAAATAACAGTCGTCTGTATGATTGGTAGGCTCACGCCAAACCATAGGTACTGCAAAAGCCATTGCCCGGTTTTTATTTTTCAGCCACTCTCGCAATATGACGGAACAAGAATTACAACATATATGAGGAGCCCATGATTTATCTTGGTCCCCAACTTTCACACCAAAATAATGTTCATTGCCTGTCTTAACGATAGGTGTCATTTTACGTTTCTGAGCCTTAAATGTTATTTCACCACATATATAGCAAAAGCTATCGACAGAATTCACACACTTTCGAGGCATTTCAGATCAGCACTTAAATTTCAATAGCAACCACGTGCGTACAATTGACAAACTCACATAGGTTATGTTTACTACTTAAGAACAGCTGATGAGAGGGGTGTTATGTAAACAAACATGTGTACCAAGTGTTGGTGATGAAATATTTCATTTGTTGAAAACTCAATATACATATATATATATATATAATATAATGATACTATATCTTGAAAACAAGAGCTAATATATAATTTTTATGGTCACTTTCGGTTTTAACACGTGGAAATACATTAAAATCATCTAATTTCAACCCCGAAACAAAAACTTTGTTGTGTTGTGATAATCATGGATAGTAAACCCTTGTTTTTGAATTATACAGGGTGGCCCAGCACATTCGCCTCGGTATTTCTACGAGAAATGAGGAGAGTTAGGGAAACACTTTCAGCACAGCTATATGTGGGTCCATGAGGAGTATATTCCAAAATCATTTTAGATTATACAGGGTGATTCTACATAAAAATGATATTTTAATAAGGGATCTACCTGAAATTTGTTTATTTTAATTTAAAAGTGCAGTACCGAAGCAATCCAGAGTCACCTCTGTTACGTCACGAGACCACGTGACGCGTCTAACAAAATCGCAAAAGTAAGCAATCCTGTATGTTCATAATCGTTGATCAAGGCCAGAGCCTACTATTATTGAAAAAATACTAGAATAGGTTCAGAATGGGTATTTATTTCACTATGAAGTCTAATATATTTGCTGAGAAACAAGCGAATTTAATATATTTTGCCTCAATAATTAAGACACATGCATTTTTTTATTTTGAAGAATGTTTTTTAATATTTCAGAAATGGCAATAAATTTTAGTTTTTACATTTGCCTGCATTTTATTTTACATACACCTTATTTTGAAAAATTTAAACTTGTGCTTCTAGCGAATCTACGTATTTTTTAACAAAAAGGTGTTTAAAACGCTTTTTAGGCTTTTCATTACAATACGCGGGGTTTCATTTTGAAGATAAAAAAATTACTCATAAGTAAAATATTATAAATACCTTCTGTTTAAAAAGCAGAAGAGACAGGTATAGGGAACCCTAATATAGTTTTGAAGGGAATCTACTCCTGCGTCAAATTATGCTACTAAATACAGGGTGTTCCATTCAACTTCAAGAAGTTATTTAATTGAATGTGTGTCCAAATTTTGAGGCAATTTTCTTCACCACTCGGAATAATATTGCATTAAAAATTCCATGTTACAGTAAAAGAAAAAAATCACCAGACAAAAAAATTGTATTTCTGATTGCCTAATCCAAGGAAATGATAAAAACTGCACGAAAGTCAGTGGCGTACATTTTTAAGTCAAAAATATTCGTCCAAATTCCGCTCGAGACGCCACTGGACTTGATAAATTGAATCACGTTCGGGCTAAATTAGCTCCTCAATGTTATAAATACCACTGCCAAATCACAACAAAATTAGGTAAAGGATATTTTAGATATTTACCTACGTATAACTTTTTTTTATTTTTATTTCAACACCCTGTATCTTGAGAACGAAGGATTTGCGGACCCATGTTCATAAAAACATTTCGTCTTAAAATTACCTAAAGAATCGTACATACTCAATTCACAACCTGCATATATATATATTTTCAAACTGGGTTTTAAGCTATTTTTCAAAACTCTTACCTGATCTGTCTCACGATGGTAGAAATAATTGAAATTTGACACTATGACAGGTACTGGTAGGGCGATGGTCAGCACACCAGCGATCGCACAGAGCGACCCCACGATTTTCCCCCAGACTCCAACGGGTCTGTGAACAGAAAATACTTGTTAGCTTTCTTGATGAAGGAGATCGCTTCGATAGAATGAAAAATTATTCGTCAAAATTGAATGGTTCGGTATCAATTCTGCAAAAACTGGGTAAATATACTGATGGTTAGGTCCAAAGTGGGTGGGTCTATTCGACCCTCCAGCCCAACCCATAAGGGTTTATTGTGGCTTACACCTATTCACACTCGACTTAATAAACCCAGCTTCTTAACGAAGCCGATTAGTTTGTATGGTGAGTGGTCTTTTAGACCAGCTTTTAGAGTTCGGCAGAGCCGAACTCTAACAACCTGATTCGATTCCCAGCGGGGCAGGCACAAAGTATATGCTCTGCTGTTTCATCGTTAATGAGGCAGTCGGATAGTCAAGGTGCAAGATTCCCACCTTGATATCCGCGACAACCTTCCCATATGGGGGTTTTTGCAAGTCGGCTACACCTGACGATATAGGAGTCTCAGCTGAAACCCTTGCCCAAAAACAAAGCATTCGTCAACCAAAATCAAACAGCGCCGTTTCCGTCTGCCATCAGTGGTACTAAGCTCAACCATGAATGCATCATTTGACTCAACTGTCCTTGGATAACAAGCCTGAGTGGGACATAGTGATTACATCATTCTTCACAAGACATCTATCTACCCATGGGTTCGATAGAAGACCCAATCCACCAATTCCAATGATGAACGAGGTTTTCTTGAAACAAACTGCATTCTTTTGGGAGAGTAAATAATGATAAGAAGAGTACATTTTTGTTCGTATAGGCATAAAACTTGCAATGGAAGCAATTGTAATGAAATTGTACAATGAGCAAGCTGAGCTGTTTTTGTCAACCCTCACAATCAGATCACTGGAGAGTTTACCTATTCCTCAAGCAGAAACGTACAAAATATGAAATCGAGCCAAAGAGTCGAAGAATGCGAGTTTTCGCAGCTGAAAAGAACTTGAACAAAATATTTACAGGTTATGTTCGCCGTATTGTCAGTACCATTGCTAACTTCGTTACTGAAGATACAAATTCGGTTGGATGGGAGAGTTAGTAGAGTTTTTTCACTCATCCAACAATTGAGAACAGCGTTTTCAATTTACTTCAAAAAACACATTTTTTCAATAAGATACCCTGTATATTTCTACCTTGATCGATTGCCAAATTTTTTGTGAACTTGAGATAGTGATTATGAATTTTATCCTGAAATCAAATCAAATCAAATCAAACGGAGTTAGGCGCCTCAAACTTTTCGTCAAGTTTGTCATGAAATTTGAAATTGAAGAAACTTTTTCCAACTTAAAAGACAAAGAAGATATCATTAACTCATCTAATGTGGTTTATTCCGTTTCTTGTTCCAGTTGTGAGAAGATTTACATTGGACAAACGAGTAGACAATTAAAAGACAGAATCACTTCACACAAGAGTGGAATAAAATGCAATAAACCATCATGAACCCTTTCTAATCACACCATTAACTCAGATAATAGCTCTTCTTTTGATAATGTTAAAATTTTAGATTCAGAAAATAATAGTCAAAATAAAACTTTCTTAGAAATGTGTCATATATTTAAAAAGTCAAATACTATTAACTCCAGGACAGACATTGGAAGTTTCAGCGTGATTTATATTTATCTCCTTTGTTTAAATGAAAGTAATGAATTTGATAACAATTAATAATACCATAAAGGAACCTTTTCACCTTCACTCTCTGTTAGATATCATTTTATAGTTCTGTGAGATCTTATTGGTAGCACTGCAATGCAATGGTCATTAATAAGTTAACAAAACCGCGGCAGGTGTTTGTTTTCCTGTCGAAAAATCCTCGTTTCTATGAAAACATTTCCAAAACACTCATTTTTCAAATGAGAAATCAATAGTTATTGATGAAAAACAATTTTTTTGATGAGACACCCTGTATATTCCTGCATATTTCCAAAAATGTAGCACACTTGATGTTTAGCTAGAGTCATCTTTGAAATACAAAGCTTTTAGGTTTCTTCAAGTATAGACTTTGAAACGCACACTTTGATCAAGTAGGCTTTAGACGACGCGGCGATAAAACAGAAAGAAATCGTTCAAATGTTGAGAAAGCTTTTCACAGTAATTGAAACGCATAGTTTCTATAAAACTGATAACAATTTATACTATATTCACTACCAATCAATGAAACTTCAACAATAGTGATAATAATGATAAATAACAAACAATGAAATACATTCCTTCAGAAAAGATATTCGAAATGTCTAGCAGCTTCTCCTTCAATTGGAGTGAAGCAAAACTCTGCATCAGTGCCGCTTCCAATTCGATAGGATAATGAGATCTTTCAACCTTCCCCAGAGATAAAAGTCCATAGACGTTAGGTCTGGTGACGTGGCCGGCCGAAGGTAGGGTCCTTCGTTGGCTATCCAATTATTACCAAAATTTGCAGGCGAAAAATTGATAACAATTCAGTCCAGTCATTATAGTAAGTTTTCCTAACTTATCCACTTTTTATTCTGTATTAATTTATTTAACAACAGAACCAGAGACAATTTGTTAAGTCTTCCTATCGAAAAGAGTCGTTTTTGGCAATTTGCTACCAATTTAGACGTTGTTCGGCAGGAGCCAAGAGCTTTACTTGTGTATGAGGTTGAATTCATTCAATCTCTCCGCTCACAATTCAATACCGTAAATTTCCGCTTGAAATACATTCGCATAGGTTCCTAGACAGGTTGACATCTCTGTCCTGGGTCTGCGACTGAAAACACCTGCACCAGAATCGGAAGGTGTTTTTGATCCATCTTTGAACCAACAACTATCTGCTCTTGATATTTCCTTCTCCCGGAGGATCCAGTCCTCTCTACTCGGGAACAATACTTTATAAGTCATTCCGTAGTTGATCGTTGGAGGCATTACGTTGTATACAGGGTGTTCATCAAACACATGCTAATATTCAAGGAGGTACTTCTCAGACCCATTTTAAGAAAAAACTTCCTATGGACGTATGTCCTAAACGCCTTAACTTTTGAGATACAGGGTGGCAAAGTTTTAAAAAATAATCAGTTTTTTAATAATAACTGAGATAATTTTGTAGACATCTTTGGCATATTTGGTACATATGTTCCATGCCTCAAGGCGCATTTTCTGATGTACACAAATTTGTATTTTTTCAAACAGTGGCATCCCTACGGGTTTCGCATTGAATATTTTTGGGGAAAAAGTACTACGCCAATGC